GGTCAGTCAAAGCCCAAGAGCTGAGCTATACTATCTTTTCTGTCTGTGGGACACTGCAGTGGCTTCTTTCTGGGGAGTACCTGTGGCCATCTTTCTTCCCAGTGTAAAGAGAAAGTGCGTAATATGGTACAGTATCATGAGAAGGGAGGGCGGGAAGGGCTACATCACTGCTTAGTTCTCGGGGCCCTTCCTTACACGCCCAGGGAAATGCTGATCAACACTTTGGGGCCAGGAAGCAATTCTTCTCCAGGCCCGTTTGTCCGGGGATCCTGGAGGTTTTTTGCCATCTTCTGGGCATGGAACAGGGGTCACTGGATGTGTGTGGAGGTATTTGTGAATTTCCTGCATTGTTCAGGGGCTTGGACTCGATGACCCTGGAGGTCCCTTTGGTGTAGTGGTTAAATGTGCGGCCCCTAATCTGGGAGAACCGGGTTTGATTCCCCACTCCTCCACTTGCAGCTGCTGGATGACCTTGGGCAAGCCATAGTTCTGTCAGAGCTGTCCTTGAAAGGGCAGTTCTCTCAAAGCTCTCTGAGCCCCACCTACCTCACAGGGTGTCTGTTGTGGGGAGGGGAAGGGAAAGGAGTTTGTAAGCCGCTCTGAGACTCCAAGTGAAGGGAGGGGTATAAATCCAATCTCCTCCTCCTCCTCCATGATTCTATGGAAAGCTACCTGCCTCCATATATGTACAGATCAAGGATGTCAGACCAGAAGAATGAGCACCTGAAAGCTCTCCCTTAATCCAGTCCTGTCGGGAAATGGATTTGGCACCGGGTGATGTAAGGAGGAGGTGGAAGAATTAATTTTTAAAACTTTGGTAGGGGGAAAGGACCGCCGAATGTGAGAGATTATTCATTTAACATAACTACAGTGAAAACTTAATTTGCAGTTTTCCCCCTCTTTGGCTTCCCGCCTACTTAAAGAAAATGGCACCACCAACTGATATGTGGCTTCAGAACAGTGATCCCCAAATGTGGCACCCATTTATGGATTTCCTGGCACCAGTTTCTTTCTTTCCCAGGCCAACTCTTCCCAAAAATAAATAGCCAGTCGTGGCATTCCCCCATCTCACTGGAGCAGAAGGTGCTTCAGAATAACCCCCAGGAGGCATCACCTTTGAGTTTTGAGGGAGCGCCTGCTTGGATGCGTGGCTTGCATCCTCCCAACATTTTGTGATGGGCCCCCACCACAAATAGATGATTCAGTAAGACTGTACACAAGCACAGTGCTTGGGATAGGACCAATCTGCATCCTTCACTCCTGCTTGTCACATCCCAATTCACTGTGTATTTTCTTAGGGCAATCACCCCCTCCACCCCAAATTTACACACAAATACTCACTCTGAAAGTCAGATCATGAGCAAGAGGCGAGGTATTGAAGTACTCGAAAATGGAATCTTGGAAGTCTGGAAGTTTGAGACCTGAGAAAGGCAAAACACAGAGTTATATTCATACAAAAATAAAACGCTGCTTTAAAATTGCACGTTCTCAGAATTATTACCTGCGTCAGTCCTGTATTTTTCTTCCAACTTCTTCTTTAAAGCTTCAACCTCCTCCAAGAGTTCCTGATTTTTTACTTCTGATTCCTGATTCCTTTAGTTTGCTTAAAAAACAACAACAACACAAGAACTTTCAGAAACATTTGGGCTGGACTGTCATCAATATGAACATGACACCCAGTTGTATCTGTTGATGGACAGCCAGCCGGACACAGCCTCCTCTAATCTGGCTGAGGGACTGGAGGCTGTGGTGGGATGGCTGGAACAGAGCTGGCTGGAACGGAATCCATCTAAGAAGCAGGTTCTGTGGCTGGCTGGGGGGGGGGGGGGCCGGG